ATCATCAATTTTACAATTGCATGCAATTGGTAAAATTTTAGGGATGCAATCGCAACCCTACACCTATACTTACATCTGCCCCTGCGTGGAACTCAGATTGTATTATAAGTAGTGTTTAAAAATACCCGTCATATAACTCGTTTTGTAACTTAACGATGCCATCTTTTTAATTAACACACTCATTTAAACCTAAAACTATTAACCCAGAAAAAACACATTATATTGCGTTAAATGTGTGTGTTATATTATATAACCCATTAACATAGGTTTTTAAAGTTAAATTGGATCTCTGATTAGGACGTGTTGATGCATCTCTACCGTCCAAATCATTTAAACCCTACCCATTTTAATCTCGATCACCTTATTCTCTTCTTGCGAATATGTAATCTCTTCGCCTCCTCCAACCCAAAACCCTAGCTCTTTACCTCCTCTGAAACTCCTCCAGCAATCGGTAACTTCAGTGACTCCTGTAAAATAAATTTTTTATTTTTCAGTTATGTATCTGGCATTAGTTTATATCCTTTAAACAAATAGTGATTTTGAAATTACTTTCCAAATTTCAATCCTTTGTATTGCCAATTTACCATAAATCATATCAAACTTGTTGCTCCCTTACTTTACCCCTTCAACATAATTTTTTAAGATCTGTCACAGAATTAGAGCACCGAGATTAATTAGTGGATTAACTATATTGTTTAGTTAATTACTTTCAGTTATTACTTGATTTTGATTAGGTTTTAGTTTTCAATTAATACTAGAGTTTTGTAAAATTAAGTTTGCACGCAAGCTCTGTATATGCAAAAAAAAATAGTGTTGTTACATTAATCATGTTTAGTTTTGTTGGTGTAGTGAACTTGATTAGGAATTAGAATATTTTTGCGAAATTAAGAACTCGAGAGTTGGAAGTGTCAATTTGTTTTTATTGCCTTAAATTGGACGACTTAACATACTTGATTATTTAATGATGTTTATTGAAATGATTGTTAGTCATATATGACTAACTTTTGTTAAGAAATTGTGATACTATATTTTTATATTTGATAATTGTGATGTTATGTTTGAAAAGTATTAAAGTTATTATAAACTGTTAGTATTTATAAAATATCTAAATAATTAATAAACAATGTAACCTACATTATGCGTTACGTTTTTTTGCATTTTTTCCCCTTAACCCTTGGTAGGAGGCCAAACATTACATGACTCATTTTTGTTATTTTCAACATTGGTTATATGCAGCAGGCAAACCTTAATGTGGCTCGCGTTTTGACTAGGTGGTTGTTGCCCAATGCCCAATTACATAGAACTCAAACGACTTAAGTTTCTTGTATAATAAATGATACTCCAGGGGGCCCTACATTTCATCCAAGAGATGAAATAGCTCTCTTATTGCATGCAGGAGAAAGGTTTCTAGAGACTATAAACAACCCCTACTCTAGAGAATCATCAAAAAAGAGAATGAGTTCAAAATCTAAGTGCCCTTTGCTATCATCATCAATAGTTCTAGTATGAGGTGGCAAGTTTTATCAAGCATCATGAATAGCATAGCAGATTGTTATTGAAGCATCTCCTATCAAGGCATAAAGATCAATCCCGAAGAGACATCTAGTTGCAAGCAACCAACGATCTTGGACAAAGATATCCACTGTTTACAGCTTTGCATATTATGTTGCATACCACATTATGCTGCATACCGAATTATACCTAGAATTACAGCATGATAGCACTAGGCTCCATTACTTGTTTCTAGTACATGACATATTCAAGACCAAAATTAATGAGACCAATGATACAAGGGGATGGAAAAAAAAAAAGTAGATGGACAGCCAATACAATCAACTAGACAATTACAAAACGAAACACAAAAATGCAGGTCAAAGTCTTCAACAGCTTAAAAATTAAACGTCAACAGTATAAGCACCAAAGGGCTGAAGGTATACCAGATCTGGAATTAGAATGAAAATCAGACATGATTCAGACCACCTATATCAGAGCAAGGCCATAGGTCAGTAAGTTTTTTAAAAACCAGACTAATGATACAAGAGGCAACATGCCGAGGACAGGATGTCTTTAACCTGACAGCTTCTGGATCACAAAATCCTAATCCACCTGAAGGTTACCAGTGGTAATTGAGGGGTATTCCACAAACACTACAAAATTTTACATGACTCTGCTCATCCCTAGTGATCAATCAGCATCAAATAAAGATGCCAACACATACTGTTCAAGTCAAAAATCACTCTGGGAAAAAACATCAGATTTAGATCACAATTCTTCCCATACACCTTGTTTGGATGGAGGTTAATGGATGGAAGTTGAAAGTGAAATTTCAATTTTACCTTGTTTGGGAGTTTTTTTGAGGGGTTAAGAGGATGGAATGGAAGGTTGAATTTCCTTCTATTTTCCTCCCCTCCAATTTTGGGGGTAGAGGATGGAATGGAAACCAATGCAAAATTTTACAATGTGATAAGACAATTATATCATTATGACATTAAAATTAATAGCTAAGTATACTCGCATCCAATATATAAGGGTATTTATGTAACTTTATACATATTCACTTCACTTCCCTCCTCTTTAGTAGAACTCCCAAACAAGGTGATGGGAATCCATAGAGAGTATATTTCAGGAGAATGAAACAAGTAATTGGATTTGGAGGATATTGATTGATTCTGGAAATATTCGTTATGATCTCAGAGGTTTTAATTGATAGGATTTTATAGTAGTTCTATTTTTGCTAAGATTTGAACGTGATTTATGGATTTGATTTGATTTTGTTATGGTTATAAATAATGATGTAAAATGCCTCAGTAAGGGCAGACTATTTTGATATGATAACTTTGAGTTTTACATTAGCATGTGAATTGCTTTGAGGGTGTGAAGCCCATTTTATTTTAATTATTCTGATCAAATCACAGCCTTTCATCATACCCTCAACCCATATCCAACCTTCCACTCAAACAAACACCCCATCTCCTTTCAAGATCGTGTCATACTGTTCACGTAAACAGTAACTCCGGTAGGTGTTCACGCTCGCTTCGATACTGCCGCGCGATTCTCCCATCTTCGTCAACATCGGATCACTGTTCACGGCCGCTGATCACTGTTCACGTGAACAGTGTCACCACAGAGTGCGTGGTAAACTCAGTTCTAAGTTGAGACCTCGTTGGTTCCTCAATCTCGTGGAACAGTTCATCAAGTTTGTAACAGAGCCTTTCGACTCGGTTCTGATTCGGATCTTATACGATTTGGTGTGAGTTCCTTACACCCTCAGGTGATCTCTAATCATAATCGCATATCCAAACCTTGCTCTTGCAACGCTATAGAACTTGTAGTCAATTTATGAATATCATTGGTTATTGTCTCTATATGTAGATCTTGTTTAAATGATCATCGCATGCATATAATTGGATTGCATTCATACTTAGGACCCTGCTAGACTTTTGCATACATGACTAGTTCCATGCACTTAGTTGTTTTCTAGGTTATCATCTGTGCGGTTGCTTGATTTATTTGGCATTAGTATTTTCCTTTGTCCTGTCCTGCGTCACAAGGGAAAACAAATTTACTTCTGTTTCCCTCACTAAACTTCCAAACAACATTTTATCTTTTGACTTCCATCCCCTACCTTTCCTTTCCATTATTTAACTTTCCGTCTCTTCCCTTAATAAACTCCCTTAATAAACTTTCCATCTCTTCCCTTAATAAACTCCCAAACAAAGCAATAAGCTAGTTATGAAGAAACATATAGTAAAGCTTGACGGAGAAACAAGATTTTGCACTTCATGACCAAAGCACTCTAAAATGTTTATCATAATATTTGAAAAGCAGCTAGATTGTTCATACTCACCACAATCAAATAAAACTAAATATTCAAATTAGCCAAAATAAGAAGTATGATGAACATCGTACACCTACATGTGTGAACAGTGTTTAGTATGGAAAACATCTCATTTTCTTGGAAATGCAGAAAAGAAGTAATTAGCTGTCAGTGAAGATAGATACCTGATGAAGATGTATACTAACAGGACTAGTATTGCCATTTGCATATGAAGAGCGCATGGTTGGCGGATGATGATATTTACACATGTTTCCAAACTTACAAATCCCCGTCTTCATGTAGTACTGGCAGACAGTTTTCCCCTGTCCCTCTGGCACTTTCTGGTGAACGCTTGAAGGTCTAGTGGAGGATGATATTGGGAGATAAGGTCCAGGATAAGCTGATGTTGGAGAAGACTGATAATGGACCGGATATGATAGTCCTGCTTGAACCATTTGTTGCCCGCAAGGATACACCACAGGGCTTACAGGTTGCTGCTTTACATGAAACCAAAGGGAAAAGGGAACTCATAATTTTCCTCGCTGAAGCTTCTAAAGCTATATAATAGTGAACAAGAACTACTAGTTTTCGAAAAAACAACACTAACCTCGTAAGGACTCCATCCAGGAACTGGAACAATGCTGGGAGAGACCAAGATAGGACCATAAAAACCGGGCATACAAGATGTTGGTGATATTGAAGGGTTTCCCACTTGCCAACTGGGTAAAGATGGGTACGGCTGAGATGGAGGAACAAAAGGAGGTTGCACCATTGGATAAGTTGCAGGTGGTGGTGACTGAATAGAGGGACTAATTGGCTGTGGATGATCGAATTTACAGGCAGAACCAAACTTGCATTGCCCCGTTTTGACATAATAGGAACATTCTCTCTCACCCTGAAACTCAAGATCCAGTAGTAGAATTAGCAAAGATAAACCAGTAAGTTGATAAATAATGCTACAAAAAGTGAGAAAAAAACTGGAAGACAATTTAGAAGAAAACACTACCTGCCGCAGAGGATATCCACTATTATTCAACAAAACTGATCCAACTCCATGCTTCGGGTGATGGTATTTGCAAAGTGGGCCAAACCTACATTTTCCGGTCTTCAAAAAGAACTGCAATTATGAATACAGTAGTTAAAAAGATGCCCATGATAGGCATTAACTTAGAAACAAGTTTATAATGATCAATCAAAAATTCTTTCTGAGATCATGCAGATCAAAGCCACGAACTACTCTAGACATAATGCAGTATGATGCCAAGAGCTTCCAGTACCTCACAAACAGGCTGACCAACACGCTCTGGATACTCAGAACCACCAAGTTTTGCAGCATTGCTTTCCTGAAGAAATTTCATGTAGAGAGCAAGGTTATTGACAGCGGATAGCGACGCGTAGCGGTGAGGCATCGCTAAGGCTATTTGGGACTATTGCGGCAAAATAGCGGTAAAAAAACGCAAAATCAAATAGTGGTCTAATTTAGATATGTGTAAATACTAAAAAAAGATTAAAGAAAAATCTAGAAAAACTAAAAGTGCATATTTGATGATTTAAAGAGATCCTAAACATGAAATAGACATGTAATCGTCACATAATACCAAAGACGACTGGAGAAGAAGTCAAAGAGTCATCGTGATGAGAACATCTAGGCACGTGCACGGGACTTTCGCCGTGTTTATCAGCGTAGGAGATGCCGTGTTTCAGCCTTGCACCGGATCTCTGCGATGTGGTTTTGATAATTTAGATTTTTGTTACTTTCAGTTTAGTAGTTGATTTGAATTTGAATTGTGAGATTAGATATGGTAGTTATTTATTTTGATATCTGATTGGTTAAGAGAGATTTGATTGAGAGATTTCCAAATCTGTAATATTTTCTCTTTATAAGCTTGCTGTAATCGGAAACGAACATTAATTTTGGAAGATTTAAAAAAAATTGCAATTACATGTGTGCTTGAATGTGTGAAACGTGGGTGTGAAACCCTAGACGCTTCCCCCTGTTCCTTCTCCTGTTCAAGCCCTCTCTCCTCTCACTTCCGCCGTCCCACTCTCCGACGACTTCGACAACCGCCACCTCCGCCCCTCGTCCCAGTTCTTCGCCACTGGACAACCGCCGTCGAGCTCACCACTTCCTCCACCTTCGAGCGACTCAGCGCATGCCCATCCCTCTCTTCCTCCACCTCCGACAGCGCCCCACTCTCTGTCGCGTCCATCCCGTCCCTTCGCCGTCATCAGCCATCGAGACCGTCGTCGTTCTTCACCCTCTAGCCGCCATCGCGCGCCTCTCCTTAGACCAAAGTCGCACCGAACAGGCCTTCAGATTTGTTTTTTTGGTGAACAGATCCGACCCATTTATATTTGGATTTGATTGGAGTTGGTTCAGACTTGAACCAGGTTCAGTTGGACTGATCTGAATCCCGACTCCGCAGTCCATTGGTGCATGGCCGATCCCGACATTGAAGACGCTGCATTTGTGATTGATCAGGAGACCGGAGTAGTGGATTTACATCTTTCCCCGTGGTTTGATTATCAACCATTCGAGATCGTACCCGAGTATGTTGAGTGTGTGACTCATCAGATCGTCGATAGCATGAGAGTCGTTTGGGAATTAGTTCGTGGCATCGACGTTTCCATCCGGATACACCACTTCATTCTAATTACGTCGTCCTTGGTGGAGAGCTTCCACCCCTTATATTTGGCATCGTCGAACCGCCTCCAGAGGATCCTCCCGTCGAACCAGTTTAACCCGACGAATGTTCAATTTTCTTACGCCCAAGTATTTTCAGAATTGCTTTTGCGTGCATGTTATTATCAATCTTAGTATCAATTGCGATTGTGCTGTATTCAGTCTGATTAGTGCACGAGTGATTTTGTTGCTAAGTATTTCTGCTGATCTAAATATTACAAATTGAACTGTATTAAGAGAACGAATCATTACATTAATTATCTGAATAATTTTACAAAGGTTCAAACTTAGTACATTGCAACTTTTGCTTAAAAACCATCGTTCGCTTCATTTTACTCTTGAATTTCCTGCTTAGATCGATCGCTGATTTGGTGAAGCATTGTTGTCGCTGATCTTGCACCTGCATATACATTGTTTCACATCACATCGTCTTCGAGAAGATGAGCTGAATGGTGAGAGGATTGCCCTAGGAGGAGTTCACGGTGAAGGAGGTGAGAGAAAGTGCTGAAGTAGATGCCAGAGGTTATGAGAGGCGGCGGGAGCATGCTGAAAATCGCGGGAGGCGGTCGAATGCAGTGGTTGAAGGTCGGGTTTAATTTTAAAAAGATAAACCCCAAACCCCTTTTAAATAGCAGCTAAAAAGCGGATTTTGCACGCAATCACCACTATTTACCATTAGGGCGCACTATTGACCGCTTTTACGAATGGAAAGTGCTTATTCTACAATATGTCACTACTATTGGGCGATAACGTAGTGGGAAGGGACCGCTAACGCTATTAGCGCCGCTATTGCGGGGCTGTTTACCGTTATTTATAACAGTGGTAGAGAGAATTTAACAAAAATAGATGTCACCTTGAAAGAATGAACCGAGAGTGATAAAGAAAAAGATCTGCCAAACCCTATTGTCCAGAAAATATTGCACTAAAGCTATATCATAACCTAATCAAAATAAATTAAGTTGCATCAATAGAAAACTGCCAAATTCCACCACCCACCGACCCCACCTCACCCCACCCCTCAAACAACTACACCTAAGGTATTCATCATGTAATTAGATTGCATAAATATAATGCAATTAGTCAAGTTTAAAAAATGATGTTAAACTACACATATTACTGGTGTCTCATGAATTACCTCAAGTTGTCAAGACTCACTTGTGGTACCCATTAGTCAATATGTAGAACAAGACCAAATTTCTTTCCCCATAATAATCAAATGATTAATTGTCAGAAATCAATAGCATGACCTTATTAATCAAAGAAATAAACTTAGGGTAATAGAAAAAGCCTTAGCCAATGTCATCAATCACTATAATATACATCTTGGTAACGATAAGAAACTTTGTTAAATTAGCTTGCTGTGGTAAAACGAGACATTATTGTGATTTTCACAAACTATCTTGAAGAAAAGTTGGAGACTTCCGGTGCTGTCTGCACAGAATGCCAAAAGTCATTCCAACAAATTTATAGGAACATCTCTCCCTAGTAGAGGAGTTGGGACCTGCCCGCTTTCTTTCATTCAGATTGAGTAAATCTTCTCCTTTATACGTGAAGGTAGAAATTATGAAAGAAAAAGCACGTGCAAACACACAAACAAATCAGAAAAAACAAGCATGCACACACACCAGCCATGAAACATGCCCACATGTGCCACGCCCACACATGTAGAGATACACACACCAATGCATAATATGCCAAAGTCATATTTAATGCATTCACATGTTTATTTTGCAAGACGTCACCAAATTAGTAGTAGACTCTATTACTATAGTGCAATTATTAATCAAAGAATCAGCTTGAATTAATAAAATAAAAAAAAAGAACAAAAAATCACTTACTGCTGTCATCAACTGTAAACTGGTATATTTGTAAGAAACTTCTCTGCAGGAAAACAACACATTGTCGTAATTTCAACAAGCCAATTATCTTAAAGACATTTTGGTGCAGGAGGGTGGGTGTACTTCTTGCGTGACAAAAGGCCACCAGTTTCACAACATCCCATTTAAAGGAGAGGATGGTCAGTTCCTGTAACGAATTTTCTCCTTGTAGGAGATGCTAGATGTTATGAAACAAGCAAGCACATGCAGACACATAAATAATAGCTAGGAGGCTAGAATGTGAACACCCCCAGAGATAAGCATGCATACACACACAAGTAAATACCACAACAAGCATGTGAACCCACATGTTCCACATGCACAATTTGGTGCATGAATGCACGCAATTTATATTTAAAAAAAGAAAAATAAAAAAATGTGGAAGGTCATAGAATCAAGGAAACTTGCCAAGATTTCAAGATGAATTTTTTTCCTGATGGAAAGAGAGCATGATCCACCTTATTAAGTTAAAAAAAAGGCAAATGTTTGCTTTTGAGTGGCACAAAAGACAAGTTAAAAAAGGCAAATGCGTGCTTGTTGTGATGGTACAAAAGACAAAAATTACAGGTTCAAGCCAATCTGCCAATGCTTGAAAAGGAACTTTCCACCTTACAAAGGATTATGTAGGAGTTCTCCCTACTTTATTCAGTTAATGCATTCATACACAGGGCGACAAATACATGCACAAAAGAAGAGAACAGAAACAACAACAGCCATAGATCGTTGCAAGTCATCAGCTAATCAACTTCCTATATTAGGCAAACTTAATAATTAAAACCCAAGTTTCAGTCTTAAACAAATTTAAAGTAAGGGTTTTTCCATTGAAACCATCTTTATAATAGGGTCATTCTATAGAAACCACCTTTGATTTTCAATTTATACATAAACCACCTTTAAAGCGCTTTCTGTTGCAATCAACCATATGGGCCCACTTTTCAATTAATTTTTTTGGGTAATTGATCCCATGTAACCTCTATTATTGGCCATCTATCTAATATACTTGGTATTTAACAACTGATTATTACAACAAAATAAAAAAAAACGTGACTTAAAAGTGGGTACAAGTAGGGGATTGCAACAAAAAAAAATGCTTTAAAGGCGGTTTGTCCATAAATTGAAAATCAAAGGTGATTTTTATAGAATGACCGTATTTAAAGGTGGTTTCTATGGAAAAAAATAAAACCTGAAAAAGTATTCCAATGAATCATACAAATAAACATGCATAAACTAATATACAACACATCAACCATGAAAAACGTATTAACATAAACAAAGGTTAACCCAAGTTTCTCGTACTCATGGCTGATATAATTCACACTACAACTCAGTCAAGATTGTAGGAAGAAATAGATTTCTACATTCTAACCAAGCATAAAATTAGTAGTCGAAGTTGAATCCTTACAACACAACGGTCACGAGGGTGATTATATCTACACCTCCCTCCAAAAGCACAGCATCCATTTCGAATAAAGAAACTGCAGTCCTGCTCGCCGGGTCTTTCTGGGTACACCCAATCCTCACTGCTGTTACTGCCCAATCCCAATCGCCCCATCGATCCTGCCAAAAACGCAAAATCCCCCAAACAAAGCCAGTCAGCAGAGTAACTATAACCTGCAAGAAATTCCACCTCTGTGCTCTAAACACTGAAAGGAAAATAATCCAATGAATTTTTCACGCAAAAGTTCAAACAAAAATGGAAAAAAAAAAAATCAGAGGCCCTTCAATCTCTGACCTAACCCTTAAAGGTACATCATTAAAAAATCAGTCATAAAAAATACTTTAAATGAAGAAACCAATTAGGGTTTATGACAATGCGAAGTTCTATAATCTAGCTACTCCGTTGATCAATCTCATTTACAAAGTTCAGGCATATAAACCGGGCGCACAACTAAAATATATCATTAAAACCCAAAAAAAATGTTATAAAAATGTGTACTTATTTTTGAAGTAAAGATTCTTACCTTCAAGGCCGGTGCTTGGATCGGGGTGGATCCCATCCACGGCGGCGCTCCGACTGAACCGTACCATTTAGGGTTTCTAGAACGTTCAGGAAGATTCTAGAAGCGTAATACAGAGGAGAGATTGACGACGGAATGGAGTTTGGCTTGCTTTCCTCTCCTTTTTTCCCCCTTTTTTTAAATGAATTTTTGTTTCTATTTAAAGTACGTTTTTTTTTAATTATTGTTTCCAGTCGCCCTTGATCTTTTCTGATTACAGTAGCTTATACACCCGCCAAAGAAAAGAGAAAAGGGCTTAATTATGAACAAACAAAATATCTCTGTCAAAAGTTATTGGTACTTTGCATATGAGCTCCTGTTTATTCTCATTATTGCACTATAGGGGACCTTGGGATGCAGCTTTGATTAAACGTGGTACTTTAACCAAACAAATAATACCTATGAAATATCTTGTAAATAATAGCACAAATATCCTCATTTTTATCCCACATAAACAAGAGAAATTTATTTATCGAAATAAGCTAAAAATGTAAGAACTAACTTTCCATAAAATGATTTCCAAACAAAATCAAACAAAACATGCAAAAACAATATTTTAGAGGAGTAACAAGCAACTGCTGTTAGGTTTCGTGTTTTGATGATGATTTACAAACCTCATTATTGATACTAATTGTTTGTCAAGTGATCACACGCAAGATATGTTTATCAAGCAATACAGTGACATGTAAAGGAGGATTGATGGACTTGCATGTTAACGATGATATTCATAGAGGTGGAGGCAAGTTGATGAAGAAGCCTTAAATGCTTAAAGATTGACTCATGCAAATATCTACTTAAGAAGAGCGTTCAAGTATATATTCAAGAATAGCTTCATCAACAACAAATTTTAGCAAATATCGATATTCTAGCATTGTATACATTTGTAAGTGATATTTGCATTTTTATTTCTCTCTAGATCATACTGTAGGCAATAAATAAAGTTGATAAATCTTGAAGCATTAAGGGATTATACACACACACATACTTCAAAATTCGTTCTTATTAAAATCTTTAAAAATTATTTTTGAACAAATGTTTGTTCAAAGAAAATGATTTCTATCCTTAGTACTTTATAACTTCAAGTATTTTCCAAAGCCTCTAAACTTCTTTTAAGTCGTTTCAACTATTTTAAATAAAAATTAATTTTTTAGTCTATCGGTCAATCGATCGTAATCATTGGTCGACCGACTATATTTCATTTTAGAGTATCTACAAATTGTTTATGTGCGGTCAACCAACCAAAACTATCAGTCGACCGGTCCTTTAGCAGTTGACCGATAATGATTATCAACCGCACTGTATATTTTCAGTCGTTCTGGTCGGTCGACTGGTTCGTTGATCAGTCGGCCGATTTGCGGATTTTTAGGTAACGACTATTTTTATCTGAATTCGATTTTTAAGGGATTTGTTTTGATTTCAAAAAATATTTTTTGGCAGATTTGATCTGATTTGGAGCTCATAGCTTCTCATGTGGTTGAGAGCATATAAATAGTCCTCAAAGATCCATTTGATTTTTTTTTTAAGAAGAAGAACAACAAGGCAACTTGTGATTCAATTTTTCAAAGCAAAATTTCTCAAGCCTTTTTTCTTATAAGTCTTTCACTTCCATATACTCACAATCCGAGTGCTTCAATAGTCAATCTCTTCATCTTTATCATAGGATTCTTGTAAGAGATATTATTATCTTCATCTTGTATTGTGTGGCTTTGTGTGAAGAGTTGGATCTAGGGGAGATCATTGTGTAAGAAGTTCCGGCTTATCGCCATATTCATTGGCTAACTATCTCTCACCCTCTCTCTTTTATTTTTGCTTAATATTATATTTTGTTTCTTTGATTGAATTGTATTTTTATTAGCTGCACATTTTTTTATTACCCTATTCAATCCCCTTCCCCCCTCTAGGGTACTTTCAACTGCCACTGGTCCGTTTGGCTGTTTGAAGAAGATGAAGAAACTATTCTAGGTACAACCGCACGAGATAAGTTGATAAATCCGTCCATGAGTTTAGATGGTGCACCAAATCTACAGTGGATCTTTCTCCCCCCCCATAGAATACTTTATTAGGGAATCCGTCTAAAATAATTCTCCTTTGAGGAGCGTCTCGGATGGTCGGGCGTGGCGACAGGCAGGGGCGTGGCGGTCTTTTTCTTTTTGGATTTTTGTATGCAGGGGTAATTTTGTCATTATGTCACTGTCACAGCTGCTGACGGTGTGTTGGTGGACCAATAAAAAGTGGGCTCGTAGCACAGGTCCTGAGTGTAGCACATGCCGACAGATTAATAAGTGTTTTCTTGGCAGTCGCTAGCAAATTTCATAAAAAATTTATTCAAATTTTATGTAGTCAAATGTGGAACATAATTGGGTTTTATCATGAAAATCATCTTAAAATAGGTTCAATAGATATAAACTATTTTTTTAATTATTTGTAAACCACTTTATAAGTAGGTTTAAATTTTAATGAACTATTTTTTTTTAATTTCTAGCCAATTAATACCTAAATTATACAGTGTATCTTCATTGATAACACGTGCTTAACATGTGTTTCCTAACGACACTTGTAATTAATTGATTAAAATTTGATAAATGGTAACTGATTGAAAACTAAATCTACTTATATGATTGTTTACATATTAAAATGCCTTTAAATGTTGTTTTTATGGACTCAACTTATTTGAAAGGTGGTTTTCTAATGGAAAAATCCATTATAATTTGATAAATTGTGCTCTTTAAATAACAACAAAAGACCAAATTTGATGGCCAAATTTAAAGAAAATTAAGGTTGACATAGAACGTTTGTCATAGTTGGATAATGCATAGCTATCCTATTCTATCACAACTCTGGTGAGTCCATAAAGTACATTAATCATCTCAACTCTTTAAAACTGAGTCTTAATTATTCTGGCTCAATTTTAAGATCAATTGATTACGTATTCACTAAATCAAAATAGAGCTATCCTTAGAAGGATTCCTTTTTTTGGTACTAAATGTAGGTTAAAAATGAAATAGAGTGTTAGGTGAATTATTTTGGATCTAACTATGATTTTGGAAGTAGATGGAATTAAAAATAAATGGGGATTAGACTTTGGGTTATATAATAAAAAAGGGCGAATTTGAGAGTAAATACATGTAATGTTTTTAGTTTGTAGGCAAAAAAATGTTCTATTGTACATTAATTTTATTATATTATTTTATTAAATTTCATGAAGTATATGCTTTGTTCTTAAAATGTCATTTTTAAAGTTTGTGGGCAAAAAAAAAAAAAGGTTTATAAATGGGGTTTATAAGAAAAAGAATCTTTTTTGTCTAAAAATATATGGTCTACATTTTATAGCATTTTGCAACTTACTGTAGCTTGAAAAAGACATTTTATAGTGGTAAACCCAATTTAGCTTAAATCATATTGTAAATTTAAAGTTATAACAATTTACATCGAGTATCAAACTGTAAATTCAAAGCGGATTTAAAGTTAATTCGACAGAATATTTGATGTCTAAAAGTAATTAAACAAGTGAATTAGTCTAAAAATAAATTGGGGTAATATTTTTGGTTTATAGGAGGAAAACCCATTTTCAATTTGCAATGCCGTAACATTTGTATGAGAAAAATAGAAACATTTTTGGTTTAAAAAGTACATTTTACCTAATTGTTTAGAACAAAAATAGAGCTAATAAGAAGTGAAAGAGTCACAAAAAATGGGGTAATGTTTTTGGTTTAAAAAATACATTTTATCTAATTGCTTAGAACAAAAATAGAGGTAATAATAACATTTTGGTTTAAAAAATACATTTTATCTAATTGCTTAGAACAAAAATAGAAGTAAATAAGTATAAAAATAAATATGGATAATGTTTTTTGTTTATAGGTAGAAAACCAAAAGCATTGCTTAGAACAAAAATAATAACAGCTTTGGTTTAAAAAAAAGTACTCTTTATCTAATTACTTAGAACAAAAATAGAGCTAATAATAACAATTTTGGTTAAAAAATACATTGCATCTAATTTCTTAGAAAAAATTGAAGCGAATGAGTCTAAAAATAAAGAGGGTAATATTTTTTATTTATAGATAGAAAACTCATCTACAATTTGCAATGTTGCAACATTCGTATGAAAAGGAACAATAATACAATTTTGGTTAAAAAATACATTTTTATCTAATTGTTTAGAATGAAAATAGAATAAAATATAGTGGCGTATGCTGTATATCAAATTGTCAAATACTAAGTGGTTTAAAATTAATTCAATGAAGTATTTTAGATTTTGGAATGACTTTAAAAGCAAGTGGGCTTAATAGTCAATGGCAGTAAA